ACCACAACTGTAGCTCTCTTATCACAAAGTACTGATACAGTTCCCTCCCTGCAGCCTCAGCAGGCAGTAATCAGCCCAATACTATTTATTGCCCCATGAGGCAAAGTAGAAACAATGCTAGAAAGTTATTTGGACACCAAGGGCAGACTTCTGCTTTATCAGACGTGTTTTCAATCACTATTTGTCTCTTTATTTATCTCTATTTATCTTAAGACTCCATTTACACCTCACATATCCAGATTGTACCTAGATATTATTTAACCTGATAGGTATTAGTGTCTCCAGTGTCCACACTGAGACCTGATATAGATCAGAACGCTCTGTCCAGCTCACCTCTCATCCTCTTTTATATACAGTCTATGCATCCTCCTCTTGTTTGTGCGTGTCTAAACAAACACAAAGATAGAAGAAGAATATGAGAACATAGTAGCCATCCATGAAGCACACATCCATTATTGTTTTTTTACTGAGACAACGTGTCTTCAATAACATCCAGTGTTGAGGACTGAGGAGAGCGTGTTTGGCCGCCGGCTGCCTAGTGGCTCCCTCATCGCTGGTCTGGAGTAAAATGTGATCATGTATTTCTGCCCACATAGCTGGTGCATGTAGCTTGACAACACTATTGCATGTACATTTGTTCAATGTGGTCAAAACCACCTCTGGAGGTGGTTAAGCTGTTTGGATCGCAATCCGTCCTTAGTGTGTCTTGGGTGCATTCACACCTGTACTTGAATGTAGTCAAGAAATATCCTTTATCACCAACTAAAGTTGACACATGCTCAAATGTCACCAGACAAATTATGTAAACATCCAGCAGACAAAGCCCATTAATATTAATGTTGAGTTAAGTTTGAGTCCAACCCATGAATCTAACTCCAACATTCACTAACTATTTACCTCAACCCGACTCACATTTGTATCTCCGCTGTGACACACTATGAACTTCAGATATGGGTCCATGTAATCGTCACCCTGCAGCCTTACTGAGGGAATGTGGTTGAATATAAACTGAGTGGTTTATCACAGGCCTTTGTTCCAGGCTGCAGATAATATTCTACAAGACATACTGAGCAAAATAGACTAGATTCTTGAGAGTTAAGTACAGCACAGTACACGATGTACCGTAGCATAAAACCGTGAAACAGGCTTCTGCTCGGTTGTGTTAAGTCTGTCTCATGTGGTGTTCCACACTGTCCAAGCTGAAGGCTGCGGAAATCGAAATGTTAAATTCCAAATAACTTACAAAATATCATCTTGATTTAATCTCTTATTCGTCTTCGTGTGACTCTGACGCACTGCCTGCACACTGAATACAGCTTGTGTGGATGCTGCTCTAACATTTATGGCTGTTATTTATGACACTGAGAGCAAGTGATTTTTGAGAGTCCTCCACATAAGCAACTCAGAGAGATTTCTCCCTGCAACCAAATTGGATTCCTGCAGACTACAGTGTGATTTTTAAAGGACAAACTTGGTTAAATGTCACAATGCTTAAAAATAAACAATGTAAAATTATATCAACAGAAATAGTATTGAGCAGGTTATATTATTATTAATTTGCACCTGGATTTTCAGCAGAAGTCACATGACGTCAAACGAAATAATAAATCCTTTAAGGCGTTGCAAGAGGAGAGAGAACAAAGTCAAACAAGATATACTGATACAAGGTATTGATATGTATTGTATGTCAATTGAGAAACTACTGACAAAATAGGTTAAATTAAACAAAAAAATTAATATTTGGTGATCATTGAGTGAAATGCAACCACAGCTTATTGTTCAGTTGTTTTTTAAATGGTGGCATCCGACTAAATTAGTTCATCTTTGGCTCATGGCTTTTCAAGTCTTCTTCAAATGTGTCTCTAATATACAAAATGACAAATGAAACTCAAAATCAACAAGGTTTTTGTTGTTGGACTTTGTTTTTGGCAACAACTTAAGCAAGTTGTTAGTTCCTGTATAAGTAAGTTTTTATTTATCTGTACTTTTCACTTTAAATCCACAACATACCAGCAAATATCTGTACTTTCTACTCCACTACACGTTCTCTATGCATTCCCTTGCATGTTGACATTGATTATTTTTTATAATTAAAAAATAATCAACAAGAGAATTGATCCACTGATCCAATCAGAGCAGGCAGGTAACATTAGACCACGCCTCCTCCTTCAGCAGCATCAGTGGTAGAGAAACATCTAAAATGGATTCAGAGGAGGCTGAGATTCAGCCATGTTGGTGTAATAGACTGTTGCATAAGGGAATTGGCTACACTCTACTTTAAAGTACTTTCACTCTTCATACTTTAAGTTGCATACTTTTATTTTTACCTGAGTACATTATTGTCCGCTAACTACTGACTACTTTTAACTTTAACATGTCGTCCATAGAGTTATCTTGTTCGAAAACTATCAGCATAGAGTGACTCTGGAGACTCAGAGGAGGATAAATGAAAAGCAGAGGATGCTGCTCTTGTCATCCAGGCCTGTCAGTGCTCTGCTCCATATCAGCATCATCCAACCCCCCCGGGGGGAGAGAACCAGAAACATTCATCAGCGCTTTGTGCCGATGAGGCAAACCACAAGCAAATCAACACTTCAGCATCTCAGCCTGCTTTTTCCATCAGCAAACAGTGAGAGCTGGAGAAAACAAGCTCCCCTGCCTGAGAGAGAAGCATGGGAAGGCTCTAGTAGACGTGATGGAGTTGATGCAAATTGAAGTATGAAACAAATCACATGCAAATTCCAACTGCCTCACAAATACAGGAAGAAGACCCCACCTCTCTCTACTCTGCTTTCAGTGGACTGGACTCCTTTGTTAAGTAAGATAACAGAAGACCACTTGCTTTTTATTTCTGCAGAAAACAAACATTTTCATTCTTCGACCAGCACTACAAGTCTTAAACCAAATACACCCTGACTTCCTGCGGCGGAACAAGGAGAAAATAAATCACTTTCTGAAATGAGAAAATGAGAGCAAGGATGAAGGAGGTTGATGGTAAGGCGTGATACTGGGGCTGCCCAGGCGATTCGGTCACATCAGGTCTGGTAGAGTTGTGGTTGAAAGAGGGGAAATAGCAGCGCAGCTCTGGGCCGACTGCCATTTCAGACAATGGAACTCCTCAGAGATGGAGCTTCCTTGAATTGTGCACAGTTTCCACTTAGTGAATGAAAACACGAGATCCTCAGAGGTTGTTTTTCCATCATGGCCGTCCTGGTAGAGATTCCATTAGAGTGTAACGACTGTTATTTCAGAGCTTGTGTGGGTCCTGTGAAAGTCAGTTACTCACAATGAAAGGGGTAATATGTGAGTATTTTAGTATAAAGTGGAATGGCCCAACAGTCTCCTCATCAAACCTAATTTAAAAATCACTAGATCCAGATTTTTTGGGATCTAAACCAAATTTCAAACACATAGATATCAATCCCTTAAGCATGGGTAATTGTTTTCATCAAGATCCATTCATTATTATCTAAGAAATCAAGGAAAATGTAAAACAATACCTAATCTCTCTCCAAGCAGTGAGCCACAATCTGCCCCATCTTATTATTTTATGATGTAGCAGTGAATCGCTGAAGCGTCCAGTCTGGCCTCAGTCAGGATAAGAGGATGGAGGCGGAGTGTGTCTAACCCAATATAACTAACATACCCATCCCTCAAGGTCAGCTGGTGGTGCTGCTGCTCCAGGTGCTCTCCCTCTCACTTCCTGTACATCATCGATTGTCCTCTACTGCCACAACAACTACATCTTAGTCTTTGACTGGGCGTGAAGTCATTGTCTAACACATCATCAGACTGTTAAGAAAACCAGGAAGCATTACTCTCTAATCCATGCAGATTCCACATAAGCACCTTGTTCATTATTTTGCAAAGACTAAATTAATTCAGGCTAATGTTAGCTCAACATGAAGGTTTTGACTTGGTTGTAAATGGCCAGTGAGACCATGCAGTCCCAGAACATGCACACAGCTCGCTGTCATGTCGAACATGAAGAACTTTTTTTGGACTGTCCACTGATCCACCAATCCAGTGACCCACTTGTCCCCATTTGCCCGATGGACAGTCCAACTTTAGCACGTGTGAAGGGGAGGAGGCAGCAAAGATGCATTTCCTTGTTTCCTATGATAAGACTGTCACCCCAACTCTCTGGTAATAAGCTGCATACTAATTGAGTATGAGACAAAATGGCCAATTCTGCCCCTCTTAAATGAAAAATCTTTTTTTTAATGAGAAAGTCATTCACCTACAGAACTGGGAGGTGTCTGCTTATGGAACGGTAATACACCAGCACCAACCTCTTTAGGGAAAAAAATAGACATGATGAATTGTGCTACCTTTTTGTGCCGTTAGCTTAGCAACAGAATCTTAAAGAGGCTGTTTAACCATTTCTTGTTCCGATACCGAACAGTTATAAAAGTCAGAATTCGTGTCCTATGGCAACTAGTGCACAGGACATGTGTATGTGGGATGGAATTGTGACACAATTTATATCTTAATTTTCATTATCTAAGGTCCCGCACATCCACAGAGCTTTCAGCTCTGCTCAGGTTGAAGCCACAATGGGAACTGTATGAGGTCACCATGCTCCTGACTTGTCACTGAAAGGATTTACTTCGTAACATTAATTATTACTGCATTCCATTATAATGATCCTGTACTAGTGTCCTGTTGTTTCACATACTAGCTCAGTGGGATGGACATTTAATGGGACACAGGTATCATTAACGTTATTAGTTACAACAATGGTTTTCCTGCTACCCTCATTGGCTACATAAAGCCTGTTGGGTCTGGTCGAGCAATAAAAACCAGTGGGTGGCTGCAGCATCAGGCAGCTAAATATAAAGAGAGAGAGGGGAGTCAGGGGAGTGGTCTGTGCACACGCTGTCCTGAGAAGAGGTTGATTGGAGCCCAGTCGAGTGAAAACAGTTGTGTGTGTGTGAAAAGAGGCTGTGAAGATGTTTTAAATAGCTGTCAAATAAAAAAGTAAAGTGAGACACAATTGATGGATTTAGTTTTTAAAGTGCAGCTTATTGCATGAACAGAAAATCCATGGCACAAACATAACAGGACTGAAGTGGCAAAAAGTTAGATGTTACAGTTTACAGTGTTTTCCTCATTTCATCAAGTCTTTGGGAACCATGGCAAAGCTGCCATTCCTCCTATGTGACAACTGGCATTACAGTGTTTATATCTATTATGGGGCCAGTGATACGAGCAGACCTGAACAAAAACATCTCTGTCAAATCCTAAGTAATTGCAGGGGGAGAATAAATATTTTACTTTAGTCCATTTTTGATTTGTTCATTCCTTTGGTTTATACTTAAACGGATAGTTCACCCAAAAATTTAAATTGACTCATTATCTACTCACCACTATGCCGATGGAGAGGTGGGTGAAGTGTTTGAGTCCAATAAACACTTCTGGAGTCTCACGGGTAAACAGCTTTTCAGCCAAATCTAAACTGAAGTAAATGGTGACTCCTTCAAACGTCCCAGTGTCTGTAAGCCCCGACATTCAAGTTTTTCAGAACAAGGTCATTTACACCATGTTTTTAGCCTAAATGTCCTCTGTGACACAGGTCAGGAGAAGCATGTCAGTGCACATTTAGGCTAAAAACAATTACCTAATTTTGAGTCAAATTTAAATGCAGGGGCTTCAAACACTTGAATGATACCACACGAGCAGTATGGAAGATTTTTATGTTCTTTTTACACTTGAAGTGGTCACCATTTACTTCAATTGTATTGGATTTGGCTGCAACGCTGTTTACCCCTGAAACTCCACTGTAGACTTAAACACCTCCATCGGCATAGTGGTGAGTAGATAATGAGTGAGTTTTCATTTTTGGGTGAACTATCCTTTTAATATCCCTATAACTATCCCTTTTATTTAGCACGTAATGTGGAGACCACCTTGTGGACGCTACTTACGAAGCAAATATAGAATAAATAATGACAACACACCTGTGCATATATATAAATGCAAACATAATGCAGCAGTTGAGTATTTGTGAAGACCACCTTAAAACTGCGTCTGATCGGTGTGAAACAGCTTTTTCTGAGGATACAATTTATGGTATTGTTGTTGTAGAGGAAACTAGATTACATGGTTTGGCAATTGTATTAGATACAAATAAATGCAGTCTGACAGTATTGCAACAATCTTTGCGCATTTTGTTTAGCCATATTATTAGAAACTCCTCTCATATACCTGAGCACCACATACCATCACATGTTTGGTTCCCTTGAGATAACATGAACTACTAGAGCCCGACCAATTTAATGTATGGCTGATATTATGTTTTTATGCATTTATATTGTGTAAAGAATATTTTCTTTCAAGTTCTATATATATATTTTATGTTCTATTTATTTTGTTTTATTTAGAATAAAGTTTATGTACAAATTGTAAAATTCAAGTCTCAATTACAAAATTACATCTTGCCGAATATCAGCAAAAGTATCAGAATGGGAGATTTCTTAAACCCCAATATCAGTATTGAGATCTGCCTCCAGATTTCCGTATTGGTCAGGCTCTAGAAAATACTACTACGCTTACATTGTGATGGTTTCTAACACATCCACAGTAGGAGGCTGCTTTAGCCTTTATTGCTGTCAGAGTCGGGGCTATTTACTTCCAGTTATTTCACTTATATTCAAATGTATTTATTTAATTCTTCAGTCGGAGGGTTGAAAAATGCTGCATAATGATTAGAGAATTAACTTTGTCCATTATTATTATTACTTTTAAATTTGATCTGGAAGACAGTGCACTGGAAGCAAATCAACACCAAACCTGGCTGATAAAGCTCAACATATCGCTGCATAGAGGAGGGTGAGAATCAGAGGCTTGTATGAAGCAAATGTGACACATTAAATCAAAGATTTAGGAGAAGAGCAGTGCTACTATTAAACACAGGTTTAACATGAACTAAAAGGACTGTCACCTCAAACCAATACAAAATTAATCTCATCAGTATAAAAACACAGTACAAAAAATCTACTTATTGAAGGGAGACCGCTGGTTTTAAGGCAAAGAACATAGTGGACAGAATACGTTAGGGTGTCATCCTAGTTTAGAATGATTTCTCAACACTGTTTGACAATATCGTACATCTCTATATTAAAGGTTTTAGGCACTCTGTTACTGTTTTTCCCTGCTCTGGTTCTAGTCTTATTCAAACCTGTCCTGGTTTCACAAGTGGTTGTGGAGAAGACCAAAGAGACCGCTTTGGCCCTCTAAGCCATGGTTTTCTTCTTGCACTCCACAGAGCAGAAGAGGAAGCCCTGCACTGCCATGAAGCGTTGGCCGACCAGGCACTTGGAACAACCGGAGCACTTGAAGCACTGTGGCTCAGCATGCCAGTGGTGCTCGCCGTAGGAAACCCTCTGAGCCTCGGGCTCCATCGCATCCTGGCAGGCTGAGCATTTCTGGGATGAAGGAGGATATGATGATGTCAGGTCACACGTGTCTTTTTACTTTGATATTTTCCATTTTTGACTGTTCTGTTTTCATGTTGATATTCAAACCTTGCATTTTAAGTGTGTCGATCATTTGCCTTTTCTCAGCATATTACCAAAACAAATTCAAAGTGAAAAAAAGTGAGACATGCTTTTCATCATTTGATAAAATCTGCAAGGGTCACAGACACTGACTTTTTTACTTTTGAGCAAGTTGTTTCAGTAAGAACTTGCCAACCCTACCTTCAAGTATTCATTCGGCAGAAAATTGCTTGGTAGCACAATGGAATCCCTAGTTCTTTAACAATGACAACATCAGAAGGGAAGACAAGTGTGACGTTACATAAAAACTGTGGCTTTGCAGAGGATTATGTCGGACACATCATGTAAACACATGCCGAGTGCTTCACATTCTTGGTGCTCATTTACAATCGTTCTCTTTTATCAGTCCTTCGCGGAGGTCTGTTGTTTAATCTGCATAACACGCTTTTTAAACAAACTGACGGTCAAACTCTTTAAACACAACACAGGCAACAGAGGAGGATAACGTGCACTTGGTATAAGCACTACAGTCACATGCTCTGACCGAGACTCAATAAAGATTTTTCTTTAGATAACTTTGGATTTTATAATTTATCTTTAAAATAATGACTGAAATATCAACCTAAGTTATATATCAAAATTAAAGAGCGATATTTATCATGTTTTGACTTAAATGTATTTCTTTATGTTAAGCTGTTACTTTTAGTAGGCATTGCCCAAGTCATTTGTAATTCACCAAACAACATTATGCGTATCAAACAAAATGCCTTGAGAACGCAGTGCTGGGAGGCAAGGCTACGACCTGCCTACACCCCGTGTCTCTCTCCTCCACACACACAGACATCGTCTTCACATGCAACACATTAATTAGTTTACCAAAGCTAACTTATCAAGGTTGTCTGGGCAATGTTTCCAGTAGCAGCACACACACTTTTACAACAGAAATGTTGCATTAAGTAGAGGCTTCTTGCCTCCGGAGTTTAGGATAGTCAAGGTCCTGAGCTGTTTCAACTGCTTTTTAAATTATACATGTATTTGTTGAATGATTTTAAAACCAGTATTTATGTATTTCATCAAAAAACAATCATATAATTAAGTTAACAGCACAGAAAACATATGCAAGCAATAAGGATGTACAAATATTCTCTGCAGGTAAGAGAAGCAGTTGTCCTCATCAGGTTGAGGTTTTAGCCCTCAGTAGTTCCAGTTCTCAAACTAAAAGTGTCTTAATGACCTTAATTGTGTTTTGAATAACACCATCCAAAATAAAGATACAACTATTTTCACCTATCTTAACAAACAAGGAAGTGTGTCTCACCACAGCGTAGTTCTTCATGTAGCAGGGCTTGCAGACAGGCTTGTCATTCTCCATGACATACGTCTCCCCAGCAAGGATGCAGTCACAGTCGAAACAGCAGAAGTGCTTCAGATGCCAGTTCTGTTCCTCAGCCTGAGTGTACTCATTACTGAAGATCAGCTGTGGACAGAAACCCAGCAAACGGTGGATTAAATATCGCCAGCAAGCTCAAAATGGCAGAGAAAGAGATAAGTGCACATAGAAAAACATACCATTAAACCATACTGTGAAAAGAAAAGGTAATAAAACTACTGACAGCGTCCAGAATAGTTTTATAGTTTTTCAAATTATGTAAATGCCTCCTACTCACCTCGTCACATCCTCCACAGCGTGGCTTCTCACTGTCTCCATAGTGGCGTCCACAGTACAGCTTGCCCTTCTTCCAGAAGTAAATCATGTCCACCAGTAGTTCGCTGCAGGTACAACACACAAAGCATGCTGGGTGCCACAGCTTGTCGTAACCAGCCCGCTCGGCGTAGACGGCCGGCTCGCCCAGACACATAGGGAGCTGGCAGTGGTGGCATGACTTGGAAAAAGGAAAGAGATTCTTAGTATTAAGGTGGAGTTGTGATTATTTTCTATCACCAACATTTTTTATTTTTTCCAAATTCAACTAATCAATGAAACAATAAAATGTTAAAAAGTGCCAATGGTAACAGAGCCCAAGGGGAAGATTTGTACTGCTGGGGTTAGAAACGTCCATTGCACCCTGTTCCAAAAACACAAACAGCCACATAATTCTCTTTGAGTCCAGATCAAAGTCAATTCAGTTTCATTCATCGTGATTCATCGTTTGATGTAACAAAAAGGCCTTTTAATGAGGGAACATTTGAAGTTTCTGCTTCAGATCTCATTCGTCTCTGAATGGAAGAAGACACAGCTACTGGGGCCTGACCTCTGCGTTTTTAATTATGATAACATGCCTGCTGGTGCAGTTTGGGTGTCGAGGCAAATATAGGTTGTTTAGTAACTCCTGTCAGGAGAGAGGAGAGATGTGGTGTTATGGACACTTGAAAGAATCAAGTGGGAGGATGACACAAAGAATATAAGAACAGAGAAACATGAAAAATAGACCAGGAGCTTGCAACAGATGAGAAAGATAAACATGGGAGGAAAATAAAAATAGAAAAAACGGTTAATGCTGATTTATGTTCTCACTTCTTACTGCTACTCTTGCAAAACCACTTCTGCTTCTAGATTTTATATTAAAACCCTTCTCAGTATGACTCACACCAGAAAAACAGGAGTAAATCATAAGACTCTAGGCAGCAAGACTTAACTAACTGCACATGGTGATGATAAGATAAGAAAAAAAACTTCATTTATGCCACATGACCCAGTGTGAATCAGAACTGAATCATTCTGCATCTTGGTGAAGGCTGAGTCAACTTTGGTCTTATGGCTCCATCTAGTGTCCAGTGTGGGACTAACAGATGTTCATAACTGTTACTACTGATATACATTTTGTACATACAAATTTAACAAAAACTATGGACTTACTAGAGTTTGCATTAATTAGTGCTTTTTTCTATGTTGTTTTTTTTTTTTTGGCACATTTGGGTTTAAATTTCAAACAATTAATGCAATTAATGGTTTCTACAACACGCTGTACACGCTGTGTTATTGCTATAACTAAACTAAAAAGGTTGTTGTCCAAATTATTGATTCCTAAAAAGCAGTGATTCAGATTAATAAAAATATACACGTAAAGAAAATACTTGGTGACATTTTTCGGATGTAATGAAAAAGTCAATACTTGAATATTGTTTTGCATACGTTTGCCATAATATGACAGACTATATACATTTTTAAATTAAAATAATATTTTCTATCAATGCTGCTGTGGATGACAGTGTAATATAGATATTAATGAAACTGACGGGGACTGACAGAGGCCAGACTGATATACAACAATATACAACAGATTAATATGAACATCTTACAAAGTTCTGTTGTGGTAGTCCAGCGTGCTGAGCTCCAGGGACACCCATGGCTCCAGCAGTGGCAGAAGTGCCCATGGCTCCTTCAGCAGATGGTCCAGTCCCAGGCCCTGAGAGTGGTCCAGCACCACCAGCACCAAATCCAACACCACCAGCACCAAATCCAGCACCACCACCTCCAGCTCTGTTAACCCCTGCCTCAACTCCAAAGCCTGTGCCAGCTCCAGGCCCACAAATCGGCCCGACCCCTCGGCCTGCAACCCCTTGCCCTGAGCCAGCTCCAGCAACCCCAATTCCCGGTCTAAACCCAGCCCCAACACCACCAGCACCAACACCAGCTCCAGGTGTTCCAGACCCTGCTCCTCCAGCACCAGGTACACCTCCAGTCCCGGCACCTCCAGTCCCGGCACCTCCAGCTCCACCCTGCCCTCCAGCCTGAACCAGAGCCATCTCTTCAGGCAACATAACATCCCCCACGCCCAGGGCCTCATCCTTGTATTTGCGGACGTACTGTTGCATTTGCTTGACCTCAGCAGGACTCAGCTCATGGCATTTGGATGGGTCCTGGTCATGCTCGGGCAGCTGTAGGGCCATTTGCTGCCGACGGTAAACCGCTCCCTCTGTACCGAACACCGGACGCTTCTCTGGTGGAAGCAGCTCGATGTAACGTACCGCCTGGATGTCAGAGGGAAAATGAAAAGGAATCGTTGAGCTCAAATGGGATAAGAAAAGTAAGAGGGGCAGAGATGAGAAGAGCACATTGAGGGCCAATCAGAAATTAAATAACAGGGAAACTGTCCTGTCTTGTGGTGAGAAGTCGAACAAAACATGGGTCCTACAGATAAAGCACAAGACTAAACAAAGACTGATTCAGGACTTTTAAAAACTGGGAAAGTTAGTCCCAGGCAGAAGACGAGTGGGATGGTGAGAGCTGCTGCTATTAAAAAAAATAACTTTAAGTAAGATATACGGACTAAAAGTCAAAATAATTTGCTGTTGCTAATCAAAGTTTTATATCACTAAAATTCCAAACTGCATTCAAAGAGAGGTTGTGGACATTAGACAATTAGATGTGTATTCACCAACCTGGTTTACAAGTTATTTCAGTTAATAAGTGTTTCAGACACTACAGATATTTGCTCTCTTACCTATATTCCTAGAAACTCACAAAGAGCTCCGATCTATGAGCAAAATCCTAGTTGTCACTTAATATACAGTAAATATTGATCAACACTAACTCATCCTTGTGATGGAGCTTGAGCTACAGCTTGTGTTTGTCTTCATCCATAATGTCTATTACATATTTTAGCCAAACACAAGGTCTCAGAGCTGATATTTTTGGATGGACCAGCATAATTTAAAACATTTAAAAGCAGCAGAGAAGCTTAAAAAAAGTACATTATTAGTGTATAACAGTTTAATAAGTGATAGTAGCAGTATTTTCTAACTCTTACCATATATTTATTAGCTACTGGCGGTGCCCACTCATAGGTGACAGACTTCATTGGCACATCTTTGGGAACTGGCATCACATTGGCTGATGTGGAGCTGACAGAGAACGGCAATTTATTTGCCTTGACTGGTGCGACACTTCCTGGTGCGGGCTTAGGCTGAACCTGAGGCTGAACCTGAGGCTGAACCTGAGGCTGAACCTGAGGCTGAACCTGAGGCTGAACCTGAGGCTGGGCCTGACCGCTGTTGGGTGCTGCAGCTGCAGAGGCTCCAGTAGGCCGTACAACACCAGCCGTGGAAGAGGGAGGAACAACGGTAGAAGAGGAACTCGGTGGTACAGAGTAAGCAGTGGAAGCACTGGGCAGAGTGATGGTCACCATGTTGCCCTGGTAACTGGGGATTCCGTCGGTCTTCAGCTTTGCGATGAGGCCAGTGTATTTGGTGTCCTCGAACAACTTGCCTACCTTCTTGTTGTCCTCTGAGTTCATCGACACATCGTGCTCTGTGAGGCCACATTTGCAGTTTCGGCAGATTTTCCTGCAGAGAAGAACAGGAAAGCATTTGTGGCTAGGATGAGCGATTGTTTTGCGTTAAGTCATTTTTAACAATCTGCTACAATAGTAAACCAACACAACAAGCTCAGAATTGCATTCACACATCTGTCTTTTTCACAGGCCTCAACACAACTTGCTTCATATTTGCAGAGTAACTGTGACGCACCTTAGGGCATGTTTCAGCATGACCAGGTGTACAGACCTTAAGCATGAAGTGCCCTCAACTTCTGTGTCGAGCAGTGAAAACCCTGTTTAATTTGTTTATGCGAGAACACATAGCAGTGATGTCAACATTCAAATATCAGAAATGTCTTTTAAAACTGTGTGATACGATCACTTTCACATGGTGCATTAGTTTCTCTTTGCTAAAAGATGAGAAAAACAGGAAGTTTATGAAGTTCAAAAAGAAACTGAAGGTTATCTATTACAAAATTCATTTTTAAAAATGGTGACAATGAAGAGACATTGCACACTAAGACACGTTTCCTTTTACCTGTTAACTCAATTATATGCCTGTTCTTTTGACATTCATTATGACAGTTATTTCCAAACGTATGGGTGGAACATGTCTCGTAACTACTCAAACTGTCTTGGATCCTGCAGGGCCAAAGCTTGCGTAAGGTCAACCCTTGTGACGTAAATGTTTACACCCTCTAATCAGAGGTGGGCAGCCCCCTGATACCAGCAACCTCTCATGAGTGAGAATCTGAAAAAACCCTGCTTATTTTCCAATCTGTATTGAAACTAAACCCCTAAACCTCATCCCTCATTCTCTCCTACCCATCACGTCCACAGACATGGCCGATTTATTACCACAACAATCCTGACATAAATGACTGACAGACCCATGGCGGGGTCTTTGTGCTGGTGCTGTGGTGGGCATGAGGGCACCTAGTGTTGTCTTCAGGAAAACTAGCCAAGTGTGGATAATTGTCCAGATAGGACAGTGTATTCAGAAATGACTGGTCCACAGCACACATTGTGACAGACAAGGGTAAGACGGAGAACCCTGGGGTGTCAGTACTGAATCAAGACCATCCCACATTTAGAGACAAAACAGTGTCTTCGCTCTACTGTATGTAGAGGTGTGCACTGAATGCTTCCAATTACAGTGGGTTTGTTGAAATAGGAGCAGAAGCCCCTTTCAGGCTCAATAGCCCCCGCTCTCAGCACTAATCAGACATAAAGTCATCCACTGTACACACACTGTTCTGGCGGTTCCAACATTGCCATCAAATTCGTTAACAATAAGGCAACAGGACGTGAAGCTCTGTGAACATAAAGCACAGCAGTTCTCAGGAACAGCATGTTCCTATTAGGCTGCAGACTCCTGCTGCTATCAGAATATTTTCAATTAAGCAAAGGAAAGTGATTTTATTGACCAGTCTGGGCCCATGAAAGCACGTTTTCTGTTTTCCTTTTATCATTCCAGGAACAATTTGATAATTAAGTATGTATTTTATCAAGACTGTCTTGGTTCATAGTGTTATATTAACGTACCTGGCAAGTGTCCAATAACTCCACTATGTATCTAAGTACCTTCACCCGAGGTTCAACACTTTGTTCAAGGGATTCCTTTGAATGGCTGATGATTTAATCTTATATATACACACATATGTCCCTCCTCTAAACACAGGAAGTAAATGGGCTTTGAAAATGGATATCCACGGTTAACATTCATTTCTTTGATGGGACTACGCAGCGAAAACAAAGTCAACAAACCTCCAGAAATGCAGCTCAAAGCCTTCGCACTTGTCCTTGCATTTCAAACAGGCTGCTCCGGCACCAAACTCATGGCCCAGCGTCATCTGTGAACAGAGCACATGGTTACAAATGATATCACAGTTCTGTTTTGACTGTTCAACCAGTGAGAGGAAGTGCTGAGCTTCAATAGGGCAAGATGTACCAAGTAAATACAACATTTAAATCAGGATACTGAATACAAGAAGAAAGTTGGGATATTACCAGAAAAAAGTTGTACGTTTACAAGAATAATGTTGTAATATTATATTATCATAAAAATCAGGACAAGAAATTGTGTCTATGTTGAAGGAAGACTTGAGGGGAATTTTGGTGGAGAAAATGTTGTGGTCAACCTCGAGGATATCGTTAGTTACTTCTGTCAGATTTTTAAAGGGATTAGAAGTTTCTCATAAAACACAGGTTCTTCCTGCTGCTTATTTCCTAGAATGCTTTTTTCCTAATTCTTTCATATTCTGACTTTTTTCTCGTTAGATTACAACTTTATCCTCCTAATAATAGGACTTTATGTAGAACTTTCATTCATGTAAATGTACAACTTTTTTTTGCCCTAATGCTACATCATTCAGATTCAATTTAAAGCTTTCAGAGATAGTTGCTCTTAGAACAAGGTATGGATTAGGGGGTTGGATGAACTGGAACAAGCTTGTTTTTAATACACATAAGAGGAATGAGATAGATGATCAATGGAAATAATCTCTCTTGGTAACTGTCTGGAGTAAAACAAGACCAGGAGCAAAATGAAAATGAATTTAGACTGCAGCAACAAAAGTCAGAAGACCAATGCAGAGAAGAAGATTATTAATGTATCCTACAGAAACGGAGGAGAGTTTAATCCTCTGTTAACTGATAGTAAAAAATAAAACTTCAATGGGGGACGTTATAGCATTTTCTCTTTGATTTGAATATGGTTGTTGACAGTAAAATGCAATAAACTATATTCAAAGTCTTACAAACTCTCTTATTTGGGTTCAAATGATTTGAGATCCACACAAATTGTTTTATTTTATTTCAACACAGATAGTTCCCAGCTGCCTTTGTTAAATGCCATAAAGATTTCAGTTTTCCTCCCAACTCTTCCTGGCTTGGGATTTTATTGCTCTCGTCTATTTAACGGCACACTTTTTCCCGTCTTCAGTGTCCAACGATACTTATGTCCACCGTGAGCCATTCCCACTGTTTATGACCATATATGGTCAATAATTCACTGATGCTGCTGACGGCCTCCAGCAGGCATCCCTAATGTCAGAGAGAAGTTTCTGACCTGAAAGAAACTCAATACTGAGGAATGCAGACAGTGACTTCAGCTTTTAATAGCTGGAAGCTTGATGCTTATATTGTAGCTTTCATCACATCTTCCAGAGGAGTGTGAGGCAATAGTGCCTTGGGAGTCATTGAGGAGCACAAGAGCCAAATTCAACAACATGATTTGTGGTGACACTGAAAAGTGCAAACACATAATGAATCTCAGTTAAGCTGCACACACACTCAACCTCCTAAATTCAATTTTAAAGGCAGAATTAATAGAGTTTGTAGGTATCGATGCTCATATTTTCCTTTTACAGGGATTGTGACTCCAATCTGGAAAACAAAATTATCCTAATTATAATAAAAGATATCGGAATTTCCCCAAGGGGATGAGTTATCTATCTATCCTTCTATCTATTATTTTACAGTTTATATACCGTTTTGATTTAAAAACTATTTTGTTACCTAACCCAATACTTTATTTAATGCATTATGTTAAGCACCTTCCCTTTGTAAACGTACAATATAAATAAACATGCTATACCTTACTGTAAGTTAACTGTTCTTACCTTCTGTGAATTCTTACATTAAAAATACAAAACATTATTCAGCCCTCACCAAGTCCAGACCAACCAATTGTTTTTCTCCTAAAATTCAATTTCTTGCATTATGTTAGGGCTATGAGGTGTGTTTTTCAACACTAGTGCCGATACAGTAGTCAGGTTTCAATACAAAATTGATGCGGAACAATACTTAAAGGAAGCCAGGGTTGGTCATTTTGTCTGAGACTCTTTATTTTATTTGTTGAAATCCTCGTCCCAATAGCAGTTAGCGGCTGACTCACAGAAAAGTTGTAAGTCAATGCACATTTATGATTTCTGGGGCCGTAGTTTTGACGAGACGGCCAATGGGAGGGATGTATCGTTTGCATTTTTTCAAATTGGTAGCTTTTCTAGGATTACCAACCCCAGCTTCAACGAGGGAGCTAAACCTCCTAAATGTAAAATTTTGTATGACTATATCAGCTGTACAAAACTATGCCTAAAGTACAGAAATTAATATAATTTTTAGGGAAATCATTATTTGAATTTAATTATTTACTCTATATTGGAAATATCGAAACATTTCTGTTGGTACCAAAAAAATTTAATTTACACCTATAATTGTACTGACATATAACATTCTGTTGCATCTGTCCTCAGCTAAGTGGTCACTTGTGGAAGTCTAAATATTTATATGCTGGGAATAGTGAGGGAGACTGGACATTTCTGGCTGAGGCTACTCAATGTGTGTGTGTGTCTTTTCTTTTGAACACACCATCTGCATTATCAGTTGATGTTTATCAGTGACTGCATGTGACGACTAGGCTTTCAATTGTGGTGACAACACTCTGCAAAGACGCTGCTCAGACACAAAGTATGTAGTTCAGACCAGATGACTCATATTCTTCAGTCTTGAGCCATTTTGTTTCAGCGGGGTCAGTAGCAGCTGAATGATGCAATGGAGTGTTGTTAATTTCAACTGGCAATATGTCCTCACACCACATCATATTGTTTCTGCATCAAAACAAACATGACAAAGATCAACTTTTGTCTCACGTCAGCATCACGAGCACCAGGAGCGTGCACACACACACACGCGTTTTTTTCCACAATCTTGTTCGTTAAATCTTTGAGGCAGCAGAATATGTCAAAAGATTCTATAACAATGTGTTTTAGCACGATGGTTTTTTCCGGCTGCATTTAATGAGTCCTACAAACAGAATTCTAGAGTCCTCTTTCCTCAACACAAGTTTTTTTAGGTCCTTGGTTTGGTTCTGCATGCTGTCGTTAGCCTCCGATCTTTTTGTCTTCATCTGATTTCACTGATGATGATGATGCCAAACGAGGGAGTCAGTTATTTGCTTTTCTGACTTATACTGTATGTTCAACTGTAAGTTCATTCAAAGTGGGAGTTTATCCTTTGCCGTGAATCTTTTTATTGTATGTTACAACCAGTTGAAGTTTTGCCACAGTTGCTAAACCATAATAAAAAGAAATCCACATAATCAATCACTCTCGCTTTTTCATTTGCTTGCGTCAAGACCAATGTTACGAGCAGGCTGTTTTAGTGCTTACTTTGAAATATAATCCTGGCGGCGACCCTGGCCTACAGTATTTTATATCTAAAGTGGTTCAGCTTAACGCCTGCGGCTGGTAGCAGAACTACAGTGTGTATATATGAGGCATGTCATGGAATGACTATTTTTCTGCTTTTGAGGAGGTGGGAGGATTGAAGATTAATATTCATAGAGATATTTATTTGTATAATACAGCATCATTTTTTGTTCTTCCTCATAGCCGCACTTTTGGAGACAGAGTTGTTGAACCTCTTGACAGCATGGCCCCATCAGGCTGTATGCCTATCTGGGTTAATGAAACACACACACCATGCCGCTACCTGCTTTTTCTGGTGAAAGAGTTAATCGCTAAGAAGCTGATACCTCATTCAGAAGGAAAAATCATAAGCAACTTAGTTGTTCCTCAAGAACTACTAGTGTAAGAACTACACAGAGAGTAAACGTGCACTGTATGATAAAACTTCATTTTCCTGCTCTGCAAATCCCAATTTGTCTCATAGGACTTAACAAGGTGCAACGTCCTCTGTCCTTAACCCTCAACAAGAGTAAGGCAAACTACCACAAACAGCGTATTCACAGTGAAGAAACCTCAGAGAGAGCCACATGTTAGGGATCCCTCTCCCAGGACAGTGTGAAGCTGAACACGTCAACAAAACTAGTATTTACAACACTGATTAGAAGAAACAGTTTCTGAAATAATGGAAAGGTGTGTCAATCTTTAAAGTATTACTACATTAGAGAATGTCTGATAGAAATGACAACTGAAATGGAGGAGTTATTGCCAGAAATGATGTATGTATATGTATAAAAAAAACATGGTGGTCTCTGTAAAGAGGGTCCCCTCGATGTAAATATAAAGTATTTAAATATAAAGAGTCTTTTCTGGGGTTAAGAAAACCACAATTCACATAATTTAGATGAAATGATCTAGTGAAAACATCATGAGGATTATTCTACATTAAATATTTGCCAACAGATCCCTTTCACCTAAATCTTACACACTCGACCTTTAACTAACCGTAACTAACAGCTTGACTCTGTAAAGCAAAAACCTGCGTTTTACATGTATTATGCTGTGAACACACTGATTTTTTGGTCAGCAGATATTGGCTTATATAAAACGATCTCCATTTGAAACTTTCTTGGGACTTTGACTGAAGCCAAAGTGGCGGCAAATTGAACTTCCAGCTTGTTGAGTGACTAATGCAACAGCATCATGTCTGCACACATCACACAGGGCGACTTTATTACCCCTGCAGCAGACTCTACTAGCTTTCCACTGCTGCAAGCTATCTGCAGGTCTAAGAAAGAACCATGAGTCAGGCAGAGTCACATTTTGAAGTACTCACTCCAGTGTACACACATTCTGGACACTAAGCTGTACTTGGCACAATATTCCAACACTGTGATGAAGCTGATTTTAGCAGGTTAGCATGTTTATTTTAAAGGTTCCGTGTATGATATTTAGGTGAAAGGGATCTATTGGTAGAGATTTAATGTAAAATAATCCTAATGATGTTTTCACTAGTTCATTTCATCTAAATTGTATGAATTGTAGTTTTCTTTACCCCAGAAAAGACTCCTTATATTCAAATACTTTATATTTGCATCAAGGGGACCCTCTCTACGGAGGCCGCCATGTTTTTTACATGAGTACAGACTGGACAAACTAAACACCTTTTGAGTTTTTATGACAATTAAAGCTACCACAGGTTCTCTGTCTTTGGAAGGAGAGGGTGAGGTGAGGGGTGTTCAGCTGCAACATGCAACTTCAACACTAGATATCACTAAATTCTGCACACTGAACCTTTATCAGTTATATGTAAAATGGATACGTGGTGTAATGGTCTCCTGTTTTCAGTCAAAGTCTTGAAAGAAACATTTTCGAAACATTAGTTTTTACTGTGACTATTCACTGTGGCCCATGCAGCAAGTCATCCAATGAATGCATCACGTGCCCACAGTCCATCAGAACCCTTCATTTGACATCATCGTGCTGCAACAGCCAGTGCATTAAAGATAATCATATGGTTTAAACACACACAGACCACACAGGGGAGCAGCTGCAGGATTCCAACAGCAGCAATTACTCTGTGTGACGACTTCCACCGCACTGATGCTGAAACAATAACGCTGCACAAAGTGGAAATGACTGAAATGAACATTATCCAAGACTCTTATTGTGTCGGCCGTCGAACTGCGGCTCTGTTGGTGGTGCCGAGCACAACTTTACTGACAACAGAGTGAAGGAAGTGGGACCCGAGATAACAACACAGTTTTGTAAAGCACGTAACAAATACATGATCCAATCCATCAACCGGACACGCGAAGTGAGCTGCTGTTGTTTAACTTTTACAAATGAAAAGGTGGAAGAAATGGATGGCAGACCCCTGGTTTGGAGCCAGGGGTCTGCCTCCGACACCGGACCTTCCCCCGCCACCTGCCCGCTGCTCGGCACACCTTCTCAGGGCGTTACCGCTCCCAGACACCGACGGAGGAGCGTAGGGGGGGGAGGGAGAGCTTACCTTCTTCACTTCCTTCTCTATCTCCATTCTTGTGTCAGTCGGCGTCAGGTTTACTCGGAGTGGAGTCCTCTGTCCTGGAGGGGAAGTCAGACCAGCAGACGCCGAGATGAGGCGGACACAGAGAATCAATGACCCGACAATCGGACTTCGCTCTCCGCTTTCTCTCCGGAGCTCCTGCCCTGGTCCTGCCCCGCACTGCTGTCGAGTTAACGCGCAACCCGCGACGGGGCTTCCGGTCACCGCCTTAAAAACAAAACCCGTGTTCGCAAGTCAGAGTGAATAACTCACCAAATCACAAACTAAATCAAATGAAAAGGATGCAAAGTGTAAACTCACAACACACTCGTATGAGTAAAGGCAGATTGTATGTAATGTACCAGCGTTTATTAGCTGTAACATCAAGTAATTGCTGTGAAAGGTTCATGTTTCAATGCTTTTTCTTAAATATATACAGTGAATTAGAGAGTTTGATGCCACCACACTACATTCATTTATTATATGTTAACGTCAGATTATTCGATTATCTTGAACAGCAGACCGTTGTCGTTGCGTCTCTTTTGCTTTTATTTTTAAAGCAGTTCCCTATATTGTCTACGTCCTCTCTCCAGCTTGATGCAGCCTTTCACTCCGGGGGTCCCGTTTCCTTTTCATTGATGATTTAGGGTCACTTCCGCTTTGAGAGACGTGCTACTCAGCCAATAGGAACAGCGAGAGAAGGGAGTCAAGCGCAGGACGACCAATCGGAGAGCAGCAGGGGCGTGCACTTGTCATAACAAAGGACGTGCAAACCTCTTTTGACAGATTCAACCAGCTGTTGTAGTAAATCTAGTTTTTCTGTTTTTTTCTCCTACAAAAAAAAATCACTTTTTATTATTGTTATCATCATGATTTGATTATTGTGTACATTTAGTTGTAGCCTATGATTTTGTATCATATAACATCCCTTCTGCAAATGGTAGCACACAGTGAAATAATCCTGAAACACAACAAGAAGCAGGGAGTAACCACAGCTGTGTTTTGTTGATCTGCATGTTGTGGTTTGTGAAATGCCTGAGTAACAGGAAACAGTGGCGGCCAGCCGCTTCCTGTGTGACCTGCTGTCACTCAGACTCACTGTACAGCTCAGATCATGTTGAGCGTCAGAGAACACTGCCTGATCTGTTCTCTCTGGTATGAACATCTGTAACACATGATTTCCTTTAGTGCTTTCAGATCTGTAAACAGCTGTCGTCCCCCTCAGTTGCAGTGATGTCGTCATTTCTTCTGCATTTTGTATGTGTTAGGCTCAAAAATATGGCCTTTACTGTCACTTAAACATGCAAACAGAAGAATCCATAGACACTCGAGATTAGGGAGTGTCGCAATTAACATCAATGATATGATGCCTAAAAATACACAGCAGCAATTGTGGCGTATGAGAGTTGCTATGCATGGTTTGTTCAGGAGCATTGAAAAGAAGGGAGGCCCACACACAGTGTCCGTTTAAATAAGAAAGACATTTATTGGGTACAACTTAATACAAGCAAACCAAACCATAATACAGCAGTGATCACTGTGAAGTGAGAGTATTGGCTGTGAGGAAAATTTAAATGTGAATCTAGACGGGGGTGGAGGACGTACTCAAACATTTTAATTGAGTAAAAGTACAAATAAATTCACAGAAAGGTACTCAAGAAAAAGTAAAAGTACCATATTAACTTTTTTGAGTGCAGTCTATTCCCAATCCAATCCAATAGTGCATCACAAACTGTGTGTCTGCTGCATGTTTTGTTTAATACAACAATAGTAAAAACATTCAGAATTGCTGAGCGACGCTTCAGGCTGCTTCTGAATCCATGTCTGGTGTTCAGTCACCAGCCAGTGCTGCTGCTGCAGGATGCAGGGGCTACCTTGCTGATATATGCAGTGGATGGAAAGTACCTGAAAGTATATCTACAAAAGTAAAACTTTGATACATTAAAAAAGTACTTAAGTACAGTAATGAAATAAATGTAATTTGCTATATCCCACTGCTGAATCTGGATTATCAATAACATGAACAAAGGCCTTAACTTAACAAAATATAAACCAAACAAAACCAAGCCTGGGTCCTGGAGTTCACCAGCCGTCCAGGAGGGAGAGAGAGGGAGCGTCAGCTTTTATAGGTTACAGATGGGTGAGGTCAAATTTTCAACGAGGTTGGAGTGACCATGCAATCAGAGCCAAAACAAATACTATACTACAGCCACGTCACTCTGTAGCCCACTGAAAACCTTTCTACAAACAATAGCCAGGCCCTCATATGAATGCTGATGTACATTCATGCAAATGGGGGGGAGGGGGGGCAATGACTGTATTTTATCCAGATTGAACAATGGGACTGATTCAATTAATTTAAGATAAGATAGATGGAAAGGACATTTTAACAGTAACAGTGTAGTATTAAAAATATGAGTGAAAATAAAAATATAAAATCTGTATGGAGTTTATGCAGAACCAGGGCCTGGTGGAAATAACAATAGAAATAGAATAAGTGGTAGGAAACAGTGAACTAGCACAAAACTAAAGTGGCAATAGAAAGTTCCAATGACAATGACAATAGGAGTAAGTAATATGTAAGTAAAGTTGCACATGATATTGAACATAAAATGTCATGCTTCAATGTAAGCAGTATTTCAAGACTATTTTTCAAACTAAGAAAATAAGGAAGTTGTATTTACTCAGAATGCTGTTTCACCGTGACGTTGTTCAACTCTTGACATGACAATGCATTACTTGAAGCCTTGAGAGATCCTAACCCGAGGCAGGAGCACAGCGTCTTGCTCAAGGGGACTTCAGCAGGACACAGATATGGACCCACGCATGTCTGCTACTCTGTGAGTCTCTGCGAACCTGGAACCCTCCAGCAGGTGCTTTTCACACCTCCACTTCTGTCTCTTTGCTTTTCTTCTTATCAGCTGTCTTGCATAAGGCAAAGTCAGATTCTGGGACATGTGCAGTGGGACAAGGTCAAATTAGTGAGTAACAATCAAGGATCTGTACTCTGCTGTCATGTCAAGTGAGCTCAAATGATTAAATTCTCATATATGTGGTCAACACATACACATAAGAAGGTGTCTGTGTGAGGGCATCATTGGATTTCACTCTGAAAATATCTGTAAATGTTGACGTCCTTTGTTCATTCTCCAGGACTATACATGTGATTGTTTTAGAGGCAGAGAGCAGAAACAGCATCAGTGGTGACAGAGTTGTACTTTGATGAAGTCGTTTGCTATGAAGCAGACCTCCTAATTTTGGGCGTTGTCATGTCTGGAAGTGTTTCTGCACTAACGTAGAGTTCACGGTACACACAGGTCCCCACAGCTGGTTTAAATGTAGCTCACCGAAACCGACTGCTGCCTGATTACAGTTTCTGCGCCAACATGAACAAAGAGGAAGATGACGGTGGAGGGACATTGTACACAAAAAGTTGATCTGTACGTCCTGCTTACTTGACACAACATGCAGATCAACAAAACACAGCCTTTGTTACTACCTGTTCCTTGTTGTGTTTTAGGATTATTTCACTGTGTGCTACCATTTGCAGAAGGGATGTACTATGATACAAAATCATAGGCTACAACTAAATGTACACAATAATCAAATCATGATGATAACAATAATGAAAAGTGAATTTTTATGTGGGAGAAAAAAAACGAAACTAGATTTATTACAACAGCTGGTTGAATCTGTCAAAGAGGTTTGCACTTCCTTATGTTGCTGACATTTCAGAGTAAAAACAAAATGTAAAAGAGAAAAAGCTTAGTAAATCTCACTTCACTAAAATGGATGTAAAGATTTTAAAAGTCTGAGTTGCATTTAATGATGACAATATATATATATATATATATGATTATTCGTTTTATTCAACAAGAACATTTTCAGGCCACTGAGAAACTGGGAATCTCATAAGGATTTTTTCCTTGTTTGCTAGCATTTCATTAACTAAGCTGTTAATGATCAAAAATAAAAGCAGTCAGTTTAATGGCACTGGGAGATTGGCATGTAGAGCGAGACGGTTCCTGTGTTGTATGTTTATGTATGGAACTGGCTCCAGATAAGATCAATTAGATCAATTATAGTGAATGGATGGATGGAAGCGATTCTTATAGAATATCCAGCCTCATCCGCTGTGCAATATTACTATCCAACCACAACTACCTCTTTTTGCACTATTTTGTATAGTTTTTAACGTGTTCATTTTTATGTTGTATTTTATCTCTTTTTAACTAAATGCACTTTTCAGTGGTAGCTGCTGTAATTTCACCATGCGTCATTGCGTGATGACATTAAAGGCATTCTATGGTAGATATTGTCATTTGAAGCCAGTCAGTTTCGTTTGAATCCTGAAAATGATACACAGGGAGTTTACAGTGTTCTAACGAGTCCTTTAAACATTTCTGCTCTTTACATCGTCTCAGTCTGACTGTTAGCCTTTTCTTTATCAACTGAGTAAAACTTAGAACAAAAATAACAAACACAATTGCATGAGACGTTTGGTTTGATATGTCCAGACTGCTGTGAGAAAGGGACCAGCTGCTGACACCTCCATCACCTTAAGCAAGGTTGTGGTTTGGACACGTGACGGAGCATGCCGAGCCATAAAAGCTTGTTTCTGGGCTCAGCCAGTTTCACACTGCTGGGCAAGATGAGGTTGGTGCTCGTGCTCGCCACACTGTTGGTGGTCTCTCTCTGCAAGAAGACATTTGAGGGGTAAGTGTACCAGCACAGGACTCTCACTGCTGTGTGACTGATGCACTGATGCTTTTTGAAACTACTTTACTATGTTATTGTAACTTTATGCTGGTTGATTACTTTCTAAAAAAAAAAACTATCTTTGTCAACCTGTAAAAACCATCAGCATGGACTGGATAACTGAGAATCTTCACAGATAGTAAATATTATTCCACTACACCTGTCTAGACCCCCAATGACACTTCATACAATATTTCATGTATAAACACGTGAACAAAACCAAATTTTAAAATCAGATGAGGAGACACAAACACCTATCAATGCAACATAATGCGATACGAGAACAGTTAAAAAGTAAAACAAAAGGTTAAAATGTGATTATTGACAGATAGATAGGATGCTATGTGTGGTAGACTGATCTGTACACATGATTTTTGTGTTGTGATTTGAACGTTTGTTCAAAAACAAAAACATAAATGAAAACTGCAAATTTGTATTTCATAGCTGTAATTAGAATGTTTAGGAAGTTCGTGGTAGAACACTGATCTTGGTAAAGACACATGTGGATACAAAATACAGACGAGTAGTAGTGTGGTGGTTAGAAGAAAAATGGCTATTACAGTTTTATTGCTGCTGTTTGTAAAAAAGTGTGTTTATACAAATGCATTTAAAATAAACACCTTAGGCTCCTATAACCAATTCATATTTTACCGTTGGCAAATTTGGCCTCAAAACACTGCACACATTCTGCACAAGCAGAACCAGTCAGCCTTGAGAAATCGTACTTCAACACATGTGAGCCAACTTCCTTCTACTTGTGTGGAGTAAAAAGTTGTAAAACATTGTGGTTCTCTTCTTGCAGAGATCAGGTGCTTCGCATTGTTCCGAAGGATGAGGTCCAGCTCTCGCTTATAAAGGATCTGGAGGACATGATAGAGTTGGAGGTGATCTATCAGCCATTATCAATAATGAGATAAAAATGGAAAGTAATATAAGTAAGAACCAACTTCTTTGCTCCATGGACATGAGGGATAAATTAGAATGTGTTTTTTTCAGCTGGATTTCTGGAAGGATGTGACTGATGTGGACACTCCTGTGCACATTAGAGTTCCCTCCCATGGCCTGCAGTCCACCAGAATGTACCTGGAGTCTCAGGGCATCGATTACTCCGTCATGATTGAAGACCTGCAGGTACGAACAGAGCAGCGGTGATTGATTAAAGTCGCTCAGACGACATTCAGTCTGACTTTGATATGACGGGTGTTCAGGTGATTCTGGATGAGGAGCAGGAGGAGATGGACTCTGCAGCTCGTGTGGCTGCGCCCAGAAACACTGACAACTTTGACTACTCCAGATACCACACCATCGAAGAGGTGCGTACATGCACCCACTCTGTTACCTAACATCATTCAGTTTCAACAAGGTTCAAGTGGAAACAAAATCTAAACATGTGTTCCACGTCTGATTTAAACCATTACAGTGGTTGCTTATTAATTAAGATTCATTTTGAATGATTGAATGATAAAAGGAAAGTATCATATAAGTCATCACCAGTGCTTTTCTTCTGATTAGATATTGGTGCTGCAGCTTGAAGTGATGGTCCTGTGTTCAGACCTCGATATCTGTGTCTCTGTTTTAAGATCTACAGCTTCCAGGACATGCTGGTGGCTGAGAATCTCGGCATGGTCAGCAAGATCGTGATCGGCAGCAGCTACCAGGGCCGTCCCCTGAATGTGCTCAAGGTGAGAGAGTTAAGATTAATACAAAAACTATGACACCCACTCTAATTATACATGTAAACAATCTGGCTCAGAATAAAAAAAACTTTCAGATACAGTGTTTTTTCCCATTTCCCATGTTGTATTTGATAAAACATATTATATGAGGTATAAGGTAAGAGATAAGATAAGATATCCATCCCAAGCCAAAGAAATTCACTTGTTACGACAGCAGAAAAACATTGCAGCATTTATTTTCTATTCAGATATATTTACTGATTTATTTTTGCTGCTCCGTCCTTCGTTCGCAGTTTAGCACTGGTGGATCCAACCGTCCCGCGATCTGGATCGACACTGGAATCCACTCCAGAGAGTGGGTCACTCAGGCCAGCGGCACCTGGTTTGCCAAGAAGGTGCTCTGATAATTATCAGTCTTTTTTCTTCTGTCACAGCAGCTTCTGACCTTTGACCTGCTGCGCTGACTATCGTGTCATCCTCAGATTGTGTCCTCCTACGGACGTGATCCTGCTCTGACCGCCATCCTCGACAAAATGGACATCTTCCTGGAGATTGTGACAAACCCTGATGGCTTCTATTACACCCACAACAGCGTACGTTTCTGATCCACCAATGAATTCCTATCACATTCAGCTTTTCATAATAAAACTGTTCAGTCTTTATGTTTCATTAGATTTAACACATACAAATAATAGTGTCATATCAGTTACATAGATATGAATAATGATTGTCAACAATAAGCGCACATGGGAAAATGGAACTCACATACAAAGATAAAATACGATTCATGATCATTAACACAACACAAACTGTGGGGACTTCCTTTGTAGAACCGTATGTGGCGTAAGACCAGGAAGCCCAACCCTGGCTCTAGCTGCGTTGGTGTCGATCCAAACAGGAACTGGGACGCTGGTTTTGGAGGTAACGTCTTCCCCTTGTGTAAAATTCTTTAAATTAAAACAACACAAACCTACTGTCAAATAATAATCGGTTATGTTTATACTTTATTTGAATAATCACCTCATAAACCTTTGCAGTTTGTTGTATTTATACTTGTATCTGCAAGTGTCATCCTCAATGCTACCTCCAGGTGGCATCAATGTAGCAGATATTCAAAGTCTTCATAGAGTGATTTTAAACAGGATCATCCCTGGGGCTTGAGTTTTTCTTTTATGGTTTTTCCATCGAGAACGTATTGGCCCAAAACTCCCGCAATTACTCAGACTTGCCACAAAATGCGTACCAGGAAGCAGAAGACACAATAAATCACTCACATATTTTAGTGCTTGGCACTTTGTGGAGACTTTTGTACCATGAGCAAATATGGTAAGTGAGCTGGGCCAGTTGAAATGCACTAAGTGATCACAGTCATTTCAGTTCAGAGGCTGTTTATAGACACTGATATTTCCTTGCACTTTCTCTAAGTCTGATGTCATCATGTGTAGGACCTGGTGCCAGCAACAGCCCCTGCTCCGAGACCTTCCGTGGCCCCAGGGCTCACTCTGAGTCCGAGGTCAAGTCCATTGTGGACTTTGTGAAGCAACATGGAAACATTAAGGCGTTCGTCTCCATCCACGCCTACTCCCAGATGCTTCTGTATCCTTACGGCTACACCAGGACTCCAGTCCAGGACCAAAACGAGCTGGTAAAAAACTCACTGACTGTTTATTTTAACCTCTTTATTTAGATATCCTCTCTGGGTCCTTAAAAAAAGATTTGCCCGTGATGTTGAATGTTATAGTGTATAAGAAACAATGAATTTTATATATATACTTTTATATTCACATAATATTATGGTAATGTCTTCCTACAGCACGCTCTGGCTAAAAGGGCTATCACAGACCTGGCTTCCCTGTATGGTACTAGATACAGATATGGCAGCATCATCAACACCATCTGTAAGTTTCAACACTTTCCTATATCCAAGTGTTATTATTATTATTATTATTATTGTTGTTGTTGTTGTGATCATTATTATTTAACTTTAAATTGATCAACTTTTTATCTCTAATAAAATATGATTCTAGAAATCACAGAAAACAGAACAAACTTTTAGTGTGTTCAGGGACATAATCAGTGTTGAAGTGCCCTCAAGCAAGACAGTGACAATATACAAACTTCAAAATAAAGTCACCAAAATACTGTAACCAAATTTGCGCCTCCAAATTCAGTCGGCTTTATTTTGGAGATGTGTTTTAGCATAAAAAAAAATGGAGATACTTTCATCAAGGCTAGAATAACAGACTGTTTAATACTTACACACAGTCATACAGCATTTCTGTCACACATATGACTCACATATATAAATATACATATTTCAGGAGCAATTTGGGGGTTGGTTAGAGGACAACCTTCTTTAACTCTTGAGCTGAAGGAGTTTCAGCAAAACGCTGGATTCTTAAATTGACCAAACTACTGTGATTAGGCTAATTAGGCATTGTTGTTGCACACTATATCTTTTCATTCTTTTCCCCGTGGCAGAGCATCAGATTCTAATATATTTTTATTCTTTAATAATTGCTTTAACTGCAAAACGCCGCCTAAGATATTCAGAATCAAAGCACAGGACTTCCATTGCGACGATTCCTGCCTCAAAATTAGTTTTACACCTGAAGTATCATCCTCTGAACGATACCCGTTTCTGCTGCAGACCAAGCCAGTGGAGGCACCATCGACTGGACCTACAACCAGGGCATCAAGTACTCCTTCACCTTTGAGCTGAGGGACACAGGTCGTTACGGTTTCATCCTGCCAGCCAATCAGATCATCCCCACCGCCCAGGAGACTTGGCTGGCTCTGATGGCCATCATGGATCACACCCTCAAGAACCCATACTAAAAAACCTGTGTGGTCACTGTTGGCAGATGCAACCTCCAAGACTAATATCACCATCATTATCTTCCTACTCTGTCCAGATGATTTCCACAGATAAATAAACAAGCACCTCTGGAAAACTGCAGCTTTTATGTCTCTATGATCGGAAAGATTTCAAATTCATTACATTGCACACTTTCTTTTTTTTTTTAGCATTTTTCACCCATCTGCATTACACCACCACTGCATTATCAGCCAGTCCACAGCTTCTTTCTGAGATACTTTAAACACTATTCACATCACTCCCATTTTAATCCTAAATATATTTCATATTGGGGAAAGGAACATAGAAGCTGCACACCTGAAAGTGTCATTATAGAAACCTTTAAAGTATCCAGGATGGTCTCTCTCATAAGTTGGTGTTAATCATTTTAAAATTCAAATTTTCTTATTTTTACCTGAAGACAGATGTGCTGAGCAGGAAGGGAGCGGTGGGGACATAGATCACAAACAATGAATGGAGGTGATCCAAGTGGAATTCATTTTAATCATGACAATTTCACATTTACTATTAACAGCAAACAATCGTACACTTTAATCATGCACATTAATTAATCAACAAAATCATGTGATGGGATCAGCTGGTTAGAGCCAGTTAGGCTTGATTTTGAAAACACAAAATGATCACAAAAATGGAGAAGTCCATATTTTTTATTAAGTTCACTTCATTAGTGTAGTAAGGAGCCAAGAAACAACGGAGCAAATCACCAGCAAAACCAAAGGCCACCAATCAATACTGTTTTTCAAAAGCATGGCCAAGAAACAAAGTGCTGCCTGTACAGTCTGGTTCTTGTACTGGGAACTTGTGATGTGCACGTTGATCTGTGCGAAGGCTCCACTTAAATCTGTTCACAATGTGCTGTGCACGCATAAACACAGACATGCAACAGAAAGTCAAAGTATCATTAGTGTGTAAGTGGATGCAGAAGTTACACATATAGGCTGTTTGTGCTGCGTCAGTTAAGAAATTCAAATAAGACCTCATGAGGCTCATTACAAAAGTACAGCAAAACCTGGATCACTCTCTCTTCCATTATCTCAACATACATTCAAACTGGTGCAATAAAGACATTCCAAGCACATCCTTCATTTCATGTTAACATTTAATGTTTGACGCTGCAGAAATCAAACTGTAACTCTTTTAGGAATGTCATAGTGATGGGGATAAGTGAAGATGAAGAGTGAGTTTCTTTTTTTTTTTGTAAGTTATTCGCTGCTGATTTGGTTGGTCGGAGGTATGTTTGTTTCTGTGTATGTGTGGTTGAACGTTATTTCCAGGGTCGACTGCTTTGAATCCTGGCGCTGTTCCTTCCAGATGCAAAGGAACTCAGTCGACTCCTCCTGCTGCTGGATGTGTTGGAGTAGGAGCTGAGGGTCGACATGCGGCTGGATATGCAGCTCTCTGTGAATGCACACACAGACACTGGTGAGGAATATGAAATCAAATGAATTAAAAACATTTGTCAGTGTTACTTCTAACAAATGGAAATTTGGTTTTGAATCATATTTAATTTGCCTGATAATAGCCATAGTCATTGAGCAAAATTCTAGGTCTGAGTCAGGAGGGATGAACCCCTCTGAACTATCACAGCCCCTGTAATAGCTGAAATAAGAAATTGCCAAAACATACATTCCATCATACCCAGAGCTTCCCCCTCAATTATTGAACTCAATCTAAATCAAAACAGGGAAACTAGACTACTGGACATCTCCAACTCAAAAATAGAATAACAAACTAACTGAGAAAAGACAACGGCAAAACAATGGGCAAACAATTGTTTGCCCATTGGAGTTGCAGCCTGCTGCTGTGTAGCTTGATTCAAAGAGCGAGAGAAAGAGAGACCACAGACCAATACAAACACACACACACACACAATACAAACAAACAAAAACTCACTTAACTATATCCCAACTTTTATTTTATTTTAGAACCAAACCACTTTTTTTTTCCAGCAAAACCTTCTCAGAAATTGCCAATTAATATAAAATTAGGAACACCTAAAACAGTACCTTACCCTACTGTAAAATCTCATTTTCAATTGGAAAATGGGGTTCTGAGTTTCTGACAGTGTGGTCTTACTGTTACTTGGGATGAGTATCTCTTCCAGCTGCTCCTGGATCTTGGTCAGCTCGTCTGATGTAAAGCGCCACCTCATCTCAGCCGCCTGCATCTCAGCCGCCTGCATCTGCTGCTGCACAAAACTCTTCTTCGACTTCGACGATGTGGGAGACGACAGGCAAGCGGTCGGGATGGAGCCTGTCGTCAACCCCTCTGGAAATTTCTGAGCAACTACCTTGAGACCTGGAAGAGGAAAGCATCTTTTTTTTAAATTTTGTAAAAAAAAAAAACATATGTTGCATGGGTTGACTAATATAAAATATAAAAATAAAAATGCCTTTTTTCAGAGGGCTGAGACGGCTGGTGCTAAACTGTCTGAGAAGCGCTGTGGTCCCGAGCCTGTTAGAGTTTTCAGATATATATAAATTACATAGAGACATCCCAAACGGTTGACTCTACGTTAGCATTGTCCCTGCAAGGTCCAAGATGGTTTTATACATGAAGTGGTGTTATGAGTCACGTTAAACACATAAAAGTAGATGTTAAAGTGATATTAAAACCAGTATTCATGTATTTCATTACAGTCATGAGCAGTCATATAATTTAGTTTACACATTTAAGTGTGTAGTACCTCTTTATATTCCCTTACATACATGTTCTGAGTTATTGAAACGCAGAAATGTAAGCTCCAGCACCACTCAAGACTGCAACCACAGAATGGTAAAAGATATTCCCTATGATTTAGAGAAAGTGTGAACAACTTAAAGGTACAGTGTGTAGAATTTTGTGATATCTAGTGTTGAAATTGCATGTTGCAGCTGAACACCCCTCACCTCACCCTCTGCTTCCAAACATGAAAAAGAACCTGTGGTATCCTTTAATTGTCATAAAAACTCAAAAGGTGTTTAGTTTCAGTCTGGACTAATGTAAAAAACATGGCGGCCTCCGTAGAGAGGGTCCCCTCCATGTAAATATAAAGTATTTAAATATAAAGGGTCTATTCTGGGGTAAAGAAAACTACAATTCATATAATTAAGATGAAACAAACTAGTGAAAACATCATGAGGATTATTCTACATTAAATATCTGCCAATAGATCCCTTTCACCTAAATCTTACACACTGGACCTTTAAGTGGAATGATAACTTACCTCCAGACAACATAAACAGATTCTCGACTCCTCGCTGACACATGGTGCTGGCTGCCTGGCTGGCTATTCTCTCATCCTCATCATACACAATGATGATCTTCCCTGTTACGTTTTTCTAAGCAGAGTGTGGGTTAAGTTCAGTAAAGACAATAATCAAAAAGCCCTGATGTTGTTGTTGACATGGAAACATATCTAAAGAGGGCTATAAAGTCTTTAATGCCAGTTCGGGTTGAAGGATACATATTCCAGCACTTCTTTGGTGAAGGGGTTCATTGTTCGAGACAGCAAGGCGATCGGGAAACTGTGAGCTTTAAGATAAACAAATGATATGGTTGTTGACATTATTCTATTTGGCAGAAAGAGCTTGATGATCATTTTCCTGCCACCTACCGCTGATGATGTGACAGCAGTTGTATTGGTCGCGGTCACGCACATCCAGCAGCAGGTAGGGGCAGTCGGGGTAGGGCCTGTCAGCATCATGCTCCATCTTCTGACTCTTCGTGTCGAGGCTCAGCTCTCCCACACCACTGACAACGCTGTGAGAGGCACAAGGTTAGGAGATTTGCAAAATTAACAAAAATGCCTGTCATGGCTTTCAAAAAACAGTTTCCATGGAGATTTCTTCAAATGTCTTATTTTATCAAATTAACAGACAAATCCACAAAGATATTCAGTCTACTGTGATATTTGATTGGTTTGTTTACTAGAAAAAAGACTGAAATGATGAAATGATTATGAAAATAGTTGCCAGTTACTTTTCTTGCATCAGACTTTTTCAGTTGCAGCACTGATCCAAGCTTAAAAACTGACTAACCAACCAGAAGATGGTGGAAGCACAACGTCTACATCATCTGCTAATGCCTCTGACCATCAGAGAGGACACACTACAGTACATGATTTTGATGTTGTGTGTTTCATAAAGCAGGGAGGTCTTCAAATCTGGCAGCTTTCACACCAGTTGATTTGAAACTGACAGTGGAAGTCAGTCAAACACACAACAATGTCCCCATGTGAAGGTGAGTTTTACCCCAGTGCTATTCCTCTCCATCTGTCCTTCCTGCACCGTGAATGTGAGCCAACGGCTTTACCCTTACAAACAGTCTGCAGCCCCGGGAGAGGTTGCAGATTGAGTTACACTCCTGGGGTTTCTGTTGCAGTTGGAAGGTGCAAAGACGCAGGTGAGAAGAGGGGACGCTGATGACAGATGGAGGGAGGTGACTGTGCATAATACAGGAGGTGGATTTGGAGGACAGGTGGAATCTCTTAAGGGACAGTGCGTTCGGTGACACAGATATGGTGGGTGTAGGATTACAGGGCTTCTTGCGATTAGGGACCGTGATTGTTGGATAATGAGTGTGACTGAGGGTGAGTCTGTGTGTATTGGAGTTTATGTAACACTGCTTTAAGACATGCACTGAATACCAGTCCGGACATTCTCCGGAAGGGGCTGTTTTTGTGGACGCAAATGTCTGATTAAGTGGTTTTGGACTTTGTCTGGAGTTTCTCCAACCAGCCGGAGATCCTCCGCAGGATTTACCCTGAGTGAGTTGGTGTGTTGATGATGAAAACAAATATGTCAGGATGCAAAAGTGGAGCTAAACATGTAGAAGATACTGACAAACGTGTCAAGAGAGCTTTTGGTGATAAAGGCTAATGCTGGTGTGGATGTGCTGTGAACAAAATCACGTGATCTCCACAGCAGGATCTTTGTTACATCCTGCTGCACCACCCCTCACCTGGGTGCTTGGGAAATGTTCTTGTTTTTTGACCACGTCTTAGCAGAGAATCTCCTGATTCTTTGTTCATGCTTGAAAGACAAACTCTGGACCCCATTGTACAGGCATTCTCCGTAGTTCATGTCTGAAAACAGCTTTATACTCTACACTACAGCCAGTATATACTACTCAGCAGCTTAAACCCTTAAAGGGATAGTTCACTCAAAAATGAAACTTCACCAGTTATCTACTCACCACTATGCCGATGGAGGTGTGGGTAAGTGTTTGAGTCCACAAAACTGGTGACCAAGACGTAATAAAACCACAATAAAAACATACGTGCCTCCATTCTGCTTGTGTGGTGTCATCCAAGTGTCCACAAGGGCTTTTTTAGGCTTAAAATAAAATGTAAATGACCTTGTTTTGAGTCAAATATAAATGTCGGGGCTTGTGGACACTTGGATGACACCAGGCGAGCAGAATGGAGGCATGTGATGTTTTTACTGTTGTTTTATTACGTCTGAGGTCTCGGTCACCGGGGACTTCATTATATGGGATTCTGCTGCTACAATGTTCACTTCTGAAAGTTTTTTGTGGAATCACACACGTCACCCACCCCTCCATCAGCATAGTGGTGAGGGGAAGTGGTGAAGTTTCATTTTTGAGTGAACTATGCCTTTAAGTGCAACACTTGCTAAAAATACTTGCCCTCGTTCTCCACAGCATGTTGGATGAAGGTTGTCCTCCTAACAGTGAGTAATATGGGATGTGAGATATTCAGCAAGGCCGTTCTTACCCTAACAGCGTTGACCTGGCAGAGCAGCAGATCTCCGTCTTGTCACCTGCATCATGGGGATCTGAAAGTGGTGATGTGCGTTGGGCGCCGTTGGTGTGTTCGTTGAAACTCTCCAGGTCTGCATCGGACATCTCAGACAGGGCATCTGCAAATGAGTGTGAAATCAACAGATTGTCACCCACTGTCAGAGACTTAAATCCATCACAGTATATCCAGGACGAGAACCCTAATTCAATATGTTTGAACATTTTTATCAGCCTATTAGTATGAAGCTACAAAAGAATAACGTTTACCGTCTGGGCAGTGTGAGTCCCCATCATTCTCACATTCATTCAGGTCTGACACAGAGGCTACCTGAAGTATCTGGTGAGAAGAACAAGTTTGAAACCACCAATGCTTATACCAGCAAGAAAACCAGCTAAAACAATTAGGAAGTAAAAGTGCAAAGACTATGATATCCTGGAGTCCATAAATAGAAGTCACAAACTGAGCTGAATGGTTTGTTAGAGCTGTCTGTGCAGAACTATTTACACAAGTAGTCTATCAATTATTAAGAACAGTAAACAGATCAGGTTTTACGACCACATTATTCATCTCCACAATATAGGCAACAAATAAGTAGATAAGCACTTGATAGTAAATCCAGCAGGACGTTGCCGTATTGCAAAGAAATAAAAACAGGTTCTTACCAATTGTGCAAATGTCGTCACCTTTAACCGCTTAAATATTTCATCTGCACGGTATCTGTAATCTGAGGAAACGGAGAATTAAAAAAAACAAAGGAAATAAAAGACTAAAATAAGAAAGGTAAATGTTGTCTCACAGCCCCGATGACACTCAGTCTTAAAATACCTTATTTAGAATGACCATGATGGCTGAAGATGATGACTTTGGACTGAGTCAAAAGGTCTGACCACTGGTCTAACAAGCTGTAACAACTACTTCAGGCAATGAATGAATCCATACTACACACTACTTACCCCAGTCTTATCCCTAAGAAATTGAAGGTCAGGTCAACACTTTTTTTATTTTCTGACCTCCTCTCTTATACAAACACGTTACTTACTTTTTTTAATGTCCTCCAGTCTTTCCATGTACTTCGTAAGGCTGCATCCTGCAAAACCAAACATGACAACAATGTGATGAAGAGACAGGAGAAGATTTAAAGCTGAGTTGTTTCAGATGTCACTGGCTTATACATGACTTGAAATACTTATTCTATTTGAGTGATATGTCATGAATTTTTCTAGAAAAGCTTACTTGTAATATAACAGAGCAGAATCAAATGGAATAGAATAAAATTAGATTAATAAACAAACAAACATAAAACAAGAATGGGCAATAAGTAATAGCCTTTCTGTGGATTAGATGCCACTTTTTGGAATTAAGAAATCTTAAACAACGACTTTTTAGAAATATTTGTAGTTGCTGGAGGAAGTCTGTAGCACCCGGAGCTCAAAAGCTCAAACTGGCAGAAGAGAGGATGGGTGCTATATGCCAAGATAGTTTCCCTCAATTTCTTCCTCGTCCTTTCAGTAAAGAGTTGGGTCAAGGGCTTTCGGGGTTTGCTGACTACTTTGCTTGTCATTAAGACATCCCTGGAAAGCTCTGCAGCGAGTGACTGTACCAGGCAGGAAGATGACAAGTGAAAACACTGCACACAAGTTCCTCAACCTGCTAACTGACTCCTAGGCCACGGAGTCTGAGCCTCTTTTCCTCATGTACAGCGAAAAATGTGTTTTTGATACATGATTATTGTTTACAATATTTAACCTTGTGTGAAGTATAATTTAGTTCAGAGACAACATCCCAATGCTGCTCCAGAAGAAGACATACTCTGCTGATTGTGTTAACTAAGAGTAATTGACAGTGAGATTCATATCTGGTTCTACTTTCCTGTCTATGAGGACATTTTAGTAGAATACCCTATATCTATATCATTCCGTTTTCATTTGATTATTATAACCTGCTTTGCTTTACAATGACTATTCATTTTGAAATGAAGTGATAATTAATAATAAACTTAATCTATGCAGCTAGTTTTAAAACAAAGTTACAAAGTGCTTCACATGAATAAACAAGGATTTCATTTCTGGACTAAGGCAAATAAAAGATAATTCAAATAGAAAATAAACCACCCAACTGTAAAAAAAACTAAAAGAAGAGATAAGAAACAAAGAGGAATATAATGAATAAAGGGAAGAACACCACCAACAACACAAATATGAATAATAATAACTCAGATGGTGGAGATCAAACATTGAGCTAGAATTCATCACATTACAAAGATATGTTGTAAGAGGTGATTCACAGGGAGGTCACTGAAGTCTCAGATCCTGGGCAGTGAGTTCCAGAGCTGAGGGGTCCTGACTGCCAGAGCCGGATGTGGGATGTTTTAAATGAAACCCGTGAGAACAGAGAAACCCTGTGAGCATGACACGTAAATCATTGAAACCTGTACCTGTATCCAAGCGGCTCTTGACGTGTTGGTACTTAGCGTTACTCGGTATTCTTGTTTTCATGTACTAGAAGGAAAAGCACAATGAGGATATTCACCACAGCTGCGTGCACACAAGTAGTTTCTTTATAAACCAAACAACATTGTTAACATCTGCGCGGAAGAACGCAACTGACCACAGCAAGGTGCACATTCTTACAGGTGTACCGAGGACAGCTAACTAACTAGCTAGCTAGCTAGCTAGGACAGCTACATTTGACTGAGTTAGCCTTCGCTTTGCTCACGGTGCATGCAACTCATTCAGCTCTGACAGCCAGCGGGGGGATAAAACACTCTGCCGCGTTATTTCTCCGACATTACCTGCACACTGCCGATGCCCTGCTTGAGCGACATCCTTTCAAACTGAACTGCCAAACATTACCGTTACCGGTTTAACAACGTCGCTGATGATTCGTCGGTGCGCCACCTCGGACCAATCAGAGCAGCCGATACTCGCTCTGCAGAACGCTCTCATTTGATACCAGCGGCCGGTTGCTAGGCAGCGAGGGACGCTCCACCTTCACGACATGGTGCATTCACGTCCAATAGTAATAACCGGAATTATTCACGGATTTTTAGAGACAACGATTCCAAACATCGAAGGCGTTTTGAAACTTTTCAAGCGAGTACTGGAGTTGATACAGTGACACAATAACACAGCAGAAGCATAAAGGAGGGTCTTACTCAAGCACAATAAACAAATCCAGTAAAGAAAAGAGTGTCAGGGCATTTCTGTCCGTCATTCATCTAAGAGGTTTTATAAATGCTTTTCGTTCCTTCTGTTGATATAGGGCCTCATTTTTAAATGTTTGCATCTATTGATGAAGTGATTGCCTCATGAAATCAGCTCTTTTATCAGAAAATCTAACTCTGTGTGCATCCTCATATCTACTCTAGATCATTACAATGCTGGAGTTCCTGGCTCTTTGGCAGCCCTTAGAAAAGCTCCTTGTATTGAACACTCTGACAACAATCAATGTTTTCATTTGAGTTGAATATTGCTGCTGTTCAACTTTGTAGGTCAGCATTCCCTTTTACAACTTTCAAAACTGATCTATTTGTAATTGATTTTCCATGCCAGGTTCCTGAATGCAGCAGCAGTCCCTGCGCTGCAGCATCATCGAGCCACAGGTGGACAGATCCTCGGTGAGGACACAGTCGGCGAATTTTGCCGCTATCGCAAAAAACAAAAGTCAGTTTTCATTGATAGTCAATGAGGAAAGAGTAAATCTCACCGGGAGACCGCTGGGCAGAGCACAGCGGGGGGATCTGGGCTCGACAGGTCAGGTCTGGGACTGTTGCTGAAGGCGCACAGTTTGACAGTCATGGAAGAAGAACAAGTTTCCCTCTGACACCATCGGCTCCGTGAAGACAGCCGAAGCCCACAATGGCGTCTGTCCTGGTGAGTGCATTGGGTCATTATCACGGGGAGAGAAGCGGACGAGGAAAAGTGTGCCTTTACTGTGATAACGTACTCTTGTGCTAATGGGAGCTGAGTCGGCGAGTTTGCTAGCTGCGTCTGCGCTAAGAGGATTTGCTGCTGTGAAGAACAGCCTGGTTCCTCTGTGCTGGGTCTCTGACGGTGTTGGAGACTTTTTGCTGATGCCGGGTTAAGCGATGTCCCGGGGAAATGTCTCTTTAATGATATCTGTAAACTCGAACACGCTTGATCAGGAAGGCAGCGTCCCACAGGAAGTGCCCTGCACCATAGCAACAGTGTGTCCTCACACAGCAGAGTCAAGTCTGGAGAATGTATACACACCCTCGTGTGTATGTGTGTGTGTAACTATCTTTAGTTATGAGTGCCAATTTTGGTTCCAAACCATCATTGTGAGGACATTCGGATGTTTCTGGACATTATGACTTGTCCTCACAAGTAAAATAGTCATTTTGAGGGTTAAGGTTTGGTTTTGCATTCAGTTGTGATGGTTAAGGTTGTGGTAAGGGGCTAGGGAATGCATTATGTCAATGAGTATCCTCACAACTATAGAGAGGCGTGCATGAGTGTGTGTACACCAGGGTTATTATAGTTAACGGAAACTAAGAGTAAAACTAGCAATGAAAAAATAATTTAGTTAACTGAAATAATTACAAAAAATGAAAACTAAATAAAAACTACAATGAACAATACAAAACTAACTAAAACTAAACTGAATTGCAGATAAATTCAGCTTTGTTTTCGTTGTCGTTTAGTTTTCTCCCTCAGTCACTGCCTGTCCTGCAGGTGATGGTTAAAGAATACAATTAAAGGACTTGATAAACCATATTTGGTCACACATTGTTTCATCCTTTTTCAGCTTCTACAAGTCAAGGCTTTCTCTTAATACCTGGAAAAACTAAAACTAAATAAAAACTAAACTGAAACTAGTCGATTCCTCAAAATAAAAACTAAATTAAAACTACAAAATCACTTGTTGAACTAACTAAAACTAAACTGAAATAAAAAAGCAAACTGAAAAACTAAATAAAAGTAAAAACTAATGAAAATGTCTAAACTATAATAACCTTGGTGTACACACTGTGTGTGTGTTCATTACTGTGCTATCTACGTATGGCTGGGCAATAGAAACAAATGTAACAACAATATGATAATCAATAAATAGATGAGTGTTCGAGATTCTTTGCTACTCCACGGACAGTTAAGTGAATATAAAAAACCATGTGTTTGAACAAGTATTTAAACACATTAACTACGGAGCACAACTCTTTCAAACTTCTTGTCAGACAACATTTTCATTAATCTGCAGAGGAAATGTCAAGTTTTGCTGACTGATTGTGAGAATTGTCACTGCAGGATGATCCCACCCTGGAGAGACACTTCAAGGGTCATAAAGATGCTGTCACATGTGCAGACTTCAGTCCAAACAACAAACAACTGGGTAAAACATGCTGCTGCTGCTTTGAGCCTCATAAATGTACAGAAGATAGTTGGTTGTAATCATATGTCATGCTTTTGGTTCTCAAAAAATCTCATTTTAACTTAAAAACACTTTTTACACAATGATACACATAATATGTTTACAAATATCGAAGAATGTAGAGAATCAGAATCTGTAACATTTAGTAGTAAAACAACAAAAATCTTTGGAAATAATCATGCAGCTGTTTACAAGAGCTACATGTACAACATGTGTATACTGTATATGTAGAAATGGGAATATCCAGACTTAAATGTTGTGCCATCATCATGCACAGCACACTTTACATAATGGCACAGCTGGGCAAAGCGATAGATAGATAGATAGATAGATAGATAGATAGATAGATGGATAGGTAGATAGATAGATAGATAGATAGATGGATAGATAGATAGATAGATAGATAGATAGATAGATAGATAGATAGATAGATAGATAGATGGATAGGTAGATAGATAGATAGATAGATAGATGGATAGATAGATAGATGGATAGAGAGCAGGACTTTTTTGTCCCAAAGTACATGAGAAGTAGGTGAGAGGAAATATTTTTTAAGGAGTCCTGAGGGTTAAACCCTTTTTTTTAATAAACTTTAGAATAGAAGATAATTCATTTTTAAATTTTTAAATTTAGCATGTGTATTTAAATCAATGACTGATCTCCTGCAGGGGAGCTGTACGGATTCTACTGAGCAGTTTATTTAGTGAATCGTCTTTCTTTTGTCTTCCTCCAGCCTCAGGGTCAGTGGACAAGAGCCTGATGATCTGGAATCTGGCTCTTAAGACGAGGGCCTTTCGATTTGTCGGCCACCAAGATGTCATCACTGGGGTGCAGTTCTCCCCATCAGGTAACCTGGTGGCAACGTCGTCCAAGGACCGAACAGTCAGACTGTGGACGCCTTCCATGTAGGTTTTCAAAGTCACTGTTACTGCTTTAACCATGACTTTTTTATTCACCAAGTACAATAAATGGACAGTCATATAGAATGAATGATCTGGTGCAGACTAAAGTAAGTGTATTCTTTGTGTGTTGTGTCACAGGAAAGGAGAATCAACAGAGTTTAAAGCTCACACTGCTTCGGTGCGCAGTGTTGCATTCTCCCACGATGGCCAGAGACTGGTAACAGCGTCTGATGACAAGTCAGTCAAAGTGTGGAGCGTTCATAGACAGTGCTTCATCTACTCCCTCAACCAGCACACGAACTGGGTGCGCTGTGCCAGGTACAGCATGATTGTCAGCACCTTGTATAGCATTAGAATGTGCATGGATATTAAACATAAACATGTTGCAATGCATTCAGAAAGTATTAAGTCCTCTTCAATTTTTCACACTGGATAATGTTGCAGCCAAATTTTTCCCTAATCAGTCATTTGAGACATTATTAGGAAAGACACATAACTGTCTATATAAAGTCTTAAAGCTGATTTCACATGTGGCAGAGTTTGTTTTCTGTGATTATTACCTGTGCAGAATCTTTATAGCTACTTTCAGACATGCACTAAGCTTGGCTGAGAAGAGGTTTATATGTGAACGCAAATGTTGGAGTAGAATCTCCTGAGTTTCTCTGGAATTTCTACACCTGGCTCCCTAAAGTTTGCAGAAAGTATAGAGGAGACGATGTGAGAACACAGCAGGAGAACCTCCATCGGTGACAATGTGATGTGAACAAAAAGAACTGATGAAGAATTTAGATAATTATTACTTTATGCATCTGAACAGAGAATTTCCTGCTGCGTTGTGAATATTTGACAGGCAACCGCAGAGAAAGTCTGGACCAATTCTCCAGAGTTCCTCCACAAGTCATGTCTGAAAACGGCTTATGAAACATCTATGATAAGTAGGCCTAAGCTACTTATTTGTCAGGCGTGGCTATAGTATATTTATTGTGTGTTTACACTGTTTTTGTCTTTTCCTTGCTGCAGGTTCTCTCCAGATGGGCGGCTCATAGCTTCCTGTGGGGACGACCGCTCAGTCCGACTTTGGGACACATCCAGCAAACAATGCATCAACTGTTTCACTGACTACGGAGGGTAAGTTCCCAGAAATAACCTCCATGGGCATCTTTTCATTCTTCTCAGCTTTTTTATTTTATTTTGTGGCAGCTATTTTTGTGGGGTGAATTTGATGAAATATGTTTGTGTAATTGCACAAAATCATTAGCAAAGTCTCATTTAATTATATATTTTTTGTTTCTAAACAGTAGAATTGTTCAGTTTCATAATTTGAATTTTGATTTGTAGACTAAAGCATCACTGAACAGAATTTAAACTTTAAATTTTGAATCATGGGTTTTTGTATATATCGCCTGCACAGTTAGTTATGGTAATTGTACACAAATTATCCATAGATATTTACAATTATGGAAGTTAGTTCATTTTATTTTTCCTTGTAAA